CTCGCGAGACTATGTCTGTGAGAATACAAGTCAAGGCTTCGCTTCGCCCGCGAGCGACTGGTTGGGCACACCTGCTCTAGAGCAATGTGGATATCCTAACTGGGCCTTCCTGAAAGCAGAGAAGAAACCCAGACAGGACTCCAGTCAGCCAACAGGTGAAAAGGAGTAACCCAGACCCAGACCAGTGGTCATTCCATATGTTGAGGGAGTATCAGAGAAACTGAGACGTTTATTTTCTAAACATAACGTCCCAGTGGCTTTTAAACCTCAAAATACATTATGGCAAAGACTGGTTCATCCCAAAGATCCAGTCCCCCGGCACAAACAGAGTAATGTTGTGTATGCTGTTCAGTGTCAGGAGGGTGATCATTCTTACATCGGGGAAACAAAACAGCCACTGGCCAAAAGGATGGCCCAGCACAGAAGATCAACATCATCAGGCCAGGACTCTGCGGTCTACACTCATCTCCAGGCCAGCGGTCACTCTTTCAGGGATGAAGATGTTCACATCCTGGATAGAGAGGAACAATGGTTTGAGAGAGGAGTAAAGGAGGCCATCTTTGTGAAGAGAAATCGTCCATCGTTAAACAGGGGTGGAGGCCTCTGGGTTCAACTGTCCCCCTCTTACAATGCTGTGATTGCTAGTATCACTCAGCCCTCTGTGAACAGTAAACAGCCATCAGTGTGCTAATGATCCATTGTTAGGCTGATGGTCCTTCTTGAGCATGTGAGCAGCTGGTTTTGGTTGTCAGCAGCAAAACTGGTTGATCCACTCTGAGAAGGTGCTATTTAAGAGACTGAGCTGAAAACAGCACCTCAGACTGAGGAAGGCTTTCGGATGAGAGACGAAACGTTTCTACATTTTTTTGCTTTGTTTTGTTTTTTGTTTTTTTGTATGTCCAGAGGACCAGATTGAACTTTTTTGGAAGTCAGGTTTACATGTACAAAAATCTTATCAGGATGATGGTCAGAACATTTCAGAAGATTTAGTTTGTACACATAGTTTCTTGATAAAACGTTCACTTGATGTAAAAGTAGGCTTTCCAGAAACTTACACACATCAACAACAAGATTAAATCCTAAGAAATGAACTTTTTGTTCAGTACATGTGAAAACAGATATTATATAATGAGATAGAAACCGTTTAAAAATGATAACTAACAGTTTCTCTCTTTTTACAAAAAAGAGAGTGGCAAAAGTAAATGGTCAAATTAGCTGCATTATGCCGTGTCTGTGCAGCTGGTTTAACTTGCGCCAAGCAGCGAGCAGAATGAAGGTGGGGAGGCTGTGGCAAGCCGATTGTGTCATTAATAGCTGGTGAAGATTCTCAGTCATGCAGGACATGGTAAATTCAAAAAAGTTCAAGAAAAAACAATAAATTATAAAGTATAATAAATAAAGTCTAGTTGTTTTTGTCTTGAATTTTTTTGAATTTGTCATTATAGCCATGTTACCTATTACATGATACAACGGCATGCCTTACTGCAACTACTAATCTGCTACTTCAGTTGTTTGTTTTTCAGTCAGAATGAATGAAAACGATCATATCTCAGCCCAAAATTGGTTTACAAATATGGGAAAATTTCCATAAATACATCACTTCGGCCTATAAGTCACAGGGCATGCAAATTATGTAAAAAACACGTGACTTATAGACTGAAAAATACGGTAAACCTCTTTGAGAGTAAAAGAGCAGTGCAAATCATCACATTTATGTTGGCGTATATTGATTGCTTCATTTGCTTGTTCATAGTGTGCTTAAACAACTAAAGATAGTTTTTTTGTTTCTTTTTTAGAGTTAAGCTTCAGTGTGACTGTAGTTTCCTTTACTGGCACCGAGCGGTTTTTCCCATTTATCTAGATGACGTATATGACAATGCTGTAGACGCAGCACGAATACACGTAAGCACACAGACTCTTGTTGTTTAAAACACCGGACAACCAAAATGTAATGCTAATGTGTCTTCTAATTAATCTTAAATCTAACAACTTCTCTTTTGTTCTGTTTTCTGCTGTTCTATGCTTCTGATTCTTGTCTGTGATTGGCTGGAGCAGTACATGTTTAGTGCTCTCAGGGACGGTGTGTCATCCATGCTGCAAGCCAAACACTTGGAGTCATGTGACCAGCTGCTGGAGAGCTACAAGAAGGAGATAATGGATGTTTTTAATGAGGTAAGCAGCACAAGTGAAGATAAAAAAGAGAAATCCTGGTCTGCAGAGGATTAATTAACGCATCAGTCACAAGTAAAAAGCTTTAATTACAAGCTAGGTTGTCCAAAATGATTCTCTTACTGGTTGTTTACACTTTTTAAAATTCTGCAACCAGCTCGTAGCCCACACCAGATGTAAACAAAAAATGTTAATTCATGTCATTTGGGCAAGTTTCTTTAAGGCAGAATCATTTCACACCAGATGTAATTAATACAGGACACCTTGGTACCACAATGCTAATTTTGTCTTACACACTGACCTGTCAGTGACAGATCAGCTTCATACCCCATAATTTGACACAATCAAGAGGGAAGAAGACTCAGCTTGAGATTGTTGTATGAAAGAGATTTATAACAGTTATATGAAAAGCTCAATTTGTCCACGGTAGAAGTCTTCTGATTTAAACCTTTTAATGAATACTAGAGCTGGGCAATATGGACCAAAATTAATATCTCAATATTTTAAGATAAATCGTGATATACGAGATATATATATATACATATATATATATATATATATATATATAAAAATTTTTTTTTTTTTTTTTTTTCCATAAAGTAATAAGAAAAATATATTTCTGAGTCAAAGTTTTGTCCCAGTTCTCACACAGCCACATTTATTAACAACAGCGGTAACTGTACAAAATAAATGTCTAAAAAAATAAACTATTTACATACTGTATATAAAAGTTTCTTTTTTAGACATTTATTTAAATGTATTAATAATCCTCTTCAGCTGGGGGCAGCTGTCCTTCAATGGGAGCGTTGGGGGTTCGATTCCACCAGCAGTCACCTGCTGAAGTGTTCCTGGGCAAGACACTGAACCCCTCCATTGTACAGGTCCTTCTAAAAAAATTAGCATATTGTGATAAAGGTCATTATTTTCCATAATGTAATGATAAAAATGAAACTTTCATATATTTCAGATTCATTGCACACCAACTGAAATATTTCAGGTCTTTAATTGTTTTAATACTGATGATTATGGCATACAGCTCATGAAAACCCAAAATGCCTGTCCCAAAAAATTAGCATATTTCATCCCACCAATGAAAGACAAGTGTTTTTAATACAAAAAACGCCAACCTTCAAATAATCATGTTCAGATATGCACTCAATACTTGGTCGGGAATCCTTTTGCATGAATGGCTGCTTCAATGCGGCGTGGCATGGAGGCAATCAGCCTGTGGCACTGCTGAGGTGTTATGGAGGCCCAGGATGCTTCGATAGCGGCCTTAAGCTCATCCAGAGTGTTGGGTCTTGTGTCTCTCAACTTTCTCTTCACAATATCCCACAGGTTCTCTATGGGGTTCAGGTCAGGAGAGTTGGCAGGCCAATTGAGCACAGTAATACCATGGTCAGTAAACCATTTACCAGTGGTTTTGGCACTGTGAGCAGGTGCCAGGTCGTGCTGAAAAATGAAATCTTCATCTCCATAAAGCTTTTCAGCAGATGGAAGCATGAAGTGCTCCAAAATCTCCTGATAGCTGCATTGACCCTGCCCTTGATAAAACACAGTGGACCAAAACCAGCAGCTGACATGGCACCCCAGACCATCACTGACTGTGGCTACTTCACACTGGACTTCTGGCATTTTGGCATTTCCTTCTCCCCAGTCTTCCTCCAGACTCTGGCACCTTGATTTCCGAATGACATGCAAAATTAGCTTTCATCCGAAAAAAGTACTTTGGACCACTGAGCAACAGTCCAGTGCTGCTTCTCTGTAGCCCAGGTCAGGCGCTTCTGCCGCTGTTTATGGTTCAAAAGTGGCTTGACCTGGGGAATGCGGCACCTGTAGCCCATTTCCTGCACACGCCTGTGCACGGTGGCTCTGGATGTTTCTACTCCAGACTCAGTCCACTGCTTCTGCAGGTCCCCCAAGGTCTGGAATCGGCCCTTCTCCACAATCCTCCTCAGGGTCCGGTCACCTCTTCTCGTTGTGCAGCGTTTTCTGCCACACTTTTCCTTTCCCACAGACTTCCCACTGAGGTGCCTTGATACAGCACTCTGGGAACAGCCTATTCGTTCAGCAATTTCTTTCTGTGTCTTACCCTCTTGCTTGAGGGTGTCAATGATGGCCTTCTGGACAGCAGTCAGGTCGGCAGTCTTACCCATGATTGCGGTTTTGAGTAATGAACAAGGCTGGGAGTTTTTAAAAGCCTCAGGAATCTTTTGCAGGTGTTTAGAGTTACGTCGTTGATTCAGATGGTTAGGTTAATAGCTTGTTTAGAGAACCTTTTCATGATGTGCTAATTTTTTGGGACAGGCATTTTAGGTTTTCATGAGCTGTATGCCATAATCATCAGTATTAAAACAATTAAAGACCTGAAATATTTCAGTTGGTGTGCAATGAATCTGAAATATATGAAAGTTTCATTTTTATCATTACATTATGGAAAATAATGATCTTTATCACAATATGCTAATTTTTTTAGAAGGACCTGTATGTCTCATCGGTGTATGAATATGATAAAGCTCTGATTGTTCTTTGTATAGATCTAGTAGAGTGCTGTATGAATGGGTAAATGAGGCACAGATTGTGTTGTAAAGAGCTTCGAGTGTCTGTAAGATAGAAAGGTGCTGAATAAGTACAGTCCGTTTAGCTGCGCCGCCTACACGTTAGTAAGTGTGTGTGAACTGCAGCTGCAGGTCCCAGTGTTTTTTTAGCCTCCTTTCCTAAAATAAACCACAGGTCAGAACTCATTTAACCATGCTCTGCTTTATGAGAGGAAAGGTGAGAGGTAGCGGCATTAATAAATCAGCAGCGTTTCATATCGCTAAGACACGGTTCCAGTCTCAGCTGTGGAACAAGACGGCTAAACCATTAGTCGTCTTGTTAGCCGCTAAGGACCATGTCTTTAGTGACATAAGTTGCTGATTTCTGCTGTGTTCATGTGTGCTCATCTGCTCACACAGACTCATGTTCGTGCTGCCGTTCGACATAATGTTTTTATGCTATTGTGCTTAGTTTATTATTTAGCTGATGTTTTTCTTAGTTCATGTCTTAGTTGTTATTACTGTTTTTCTTTTACATTTTATTGTTGGATATAACTGCGACCCTGCGTACATAATCTTGTTCCACCACATGTACCACATGAGATGCGAATGATAAATAAATCTCTCTGACTCTGATTTATTAATGTCATGGCGCCACCATAAGGCACAGCACGGCTAAATGAGTTCTGACCCGTGGTTTATTTTAGGGAAGGAGGCTAAAAAACACTGGGACCTGCAGCTGCAGTTCACACACTCTTCATACTCCACTCCGCTGTTTTAAATGGTGAAAAAGATTTATAGTTCCGACCTTTCGTCTGGACTATTTTCAGCATTGTCTACAGAAATCATCTTTCTGTCCCTCAAAGGACAATTTACATCCAAACCATTTTATTCAGCAGAACTGCTGTGTTTCTCCCGTCTTTACTTGTTGTGCTAAACGTCCCACCCACCTCCTGGAGAAGCAGGATGGAGGGGAGCACGGCTGAGGGCTGTGTGTTTGTGTTCAAGCAGGAGGATTTCCAAGTATAAAACTATTGTTTTATATCGATATAGTCTCAACTTATATTGCAAAAAAATTATATTGATATTTTTAAAATATTGAGATATCGCCCAGCTCTAATAAATACCAAATAAATGTGTGATCTAAGTGGAGAATAACTGTTATCCATATGTAAGAAATGACCATGATGTTCCTTCTTTGTTTTTAGTTTGTTGTAATATTTTGTATTCTTCCCTTCAGCACCTCCTCGACAAGCTGTGTAAGGAGATTGAGAAGGACCTGCGTCTCTCCGTTCACACCCACCTGAAGCTCGACGACAGGAATCCCTTCAAAGTGGGCATGAAGGACCTGGCCCACTTCTTTTCCGTCAAACCCATCCGATTCTTCAACCGCTTCATTCACATCAAAGGTGCAGAAAAATGGTTCTACGTGTTTACTTGGATTACTTTCAGAAAACTTAATAAAATCCTTTTGAACATTTTCCAACACAAGTCACGATCACTCAGTCAAACGTGCACTTCTTCATCCTCCCTCCACGTGAAGTTGTTCCGACACCTTTCTGTCATGTTTATCTACTGAAAAGAAGTTTGCTCTTTGGCAAAAACTTGTCAACTTAATGGCATTTTCTTAGAATAAAATCCAAACATGGGGTAAAATTACACGTTTTTATACTTCTCTGCTTATAACAAACAACTTATTTGATATTTTTCACGTAGACATAAACGGAAAATTGTCTTTAAAAAATAAAAATGTTCTTGATTTTTGGCAGGTCATCTGAATATTTTTGGCTCTGTAGTGGGTCACCGTGTCTTATCGGCTTCAGGTCCACAGGGTGTGACCTAACTCTCCAGAGCCATTTCCAGTCTTGTTCTTGTGTCTCTGCTCGTGATGCATTCAGTTTGAGTGAAATTTGGAACAAATGCTTTGATTTAGGAATATTTTAATATCTTAATTTTTGCTTTTACAAGTTAACCATTTTAGTGTACTCTGGCTGCTTTAAGTTCCAGTTGACCCAAACCAATATACTGTAGGTACCAAAGACTGGGATTAACTGGAAACATTTGTAAACTAATTCACACTTGAAGTCACTTAAGCTTATGATTTGTTAGAAAACTGCACGGTTTTGTTGTAACTGGCATCATGACTTGTTTTGGTTTGTTTGTTTTGCAGCCTATGTGACCCACTACTTGGACAAAACATTTTACAACCTCACCACTGTCGCCCTGCATGACTGGGCCACCTACAGTGAGATGAGAAACCTCGCGACGCAGCGCTACGGACTCACAATGACCGAGGCACACCTGCCCAGCCAGACCCTGGAGCAGGTGTGGATGGTTGCACCTCAAACATGTCAGAGGCGGGGGCGTTAAATAAACATAAGATTAATATTTTACTTTGTTCTCATCAGGGTTTGGACGTTCTGGAGATCATGAGAAACATTCATGTTTTTGTTTCACGCTACCTGTACAACCTCAACAACCAGGTGAGACTCGACCACACAAGACTTTTTTTCTGCGCTGCGCACAGCTCGCTCTGAAACGGCTACTTTCAACAGATCTTCATCGAAAAGGCAAGCAACAACAAACATCTGAACACCATCAACATCCGCCACGTGGCTAACTCGATCCGGACGCACGGCACGGGCATCATGAACACCACCGTGAGTTTATCCAAACCACATCACCCAGTTCTGTCCACTGTGGATGGATGAAGAGTAACGCGACTCCTCGATTTTTCTCCAGGTCAACTTCACCTACCAGTTCCTGCGGAAAAAATTTTACATCTTCAGTCAGTTTATGTACGATGAACACATCAAGTCTAGACTTATAAAGGACATCCGGTTCTTCAGGGAAACAAAAGACCAGTCGGATCAGAAGGTAATATTTACTCTCCAAATTCAGCCGTTTTACAAACTTTGGTAATTTAGAAAAATTAGTATAAGTTGGATGAATGAATCCCGAGACTGTAAATCATTAGATATTTTACTGTTCAGTTGCATCTTTTTCTTGTAGTACCCGTTTGAGCGTGCAGAAAAGTTCAACCGAGGCATCCGAAAGCTGGGCCTCACTCCTGATGGACAGAGCTACCTGAACCAGTTCAGACAGCTCATCAGCCAGATAGGTGAGAAATTCTCCCTGATGAACTCCAGAGTGTATCCGCTGAGGACAACGGCACTATTTAATCCTGCTTACTTTCAGGAAACGCCATGGGCTACGTGCGTATGATCCGTTCTGGAGGCCTCCACTGTTGCAGCAGCGCCATCAGGTAAAAGAGCCAGGTAGTCGTTCTTTGTTGGTGTAATTTATGGATTGAAAGTTAAAAAAAGTGTGTTAAAACGTAAACTGGGTGCAGAAATGATGTGTTTCCTACTGCTTGGTTCAAAATGTTGTGTAATTAATCATTGCTAAAAACTAACTTAGCCCAGAATGAATAAAATGTAATTTAAAATTTATCTTAGGAAGCTTCTTTGGAAAAACCAGCCTTCAAATGTTCACTACCAGTCATAAATGGAAGAGTCAAAAAGATGCTGGAGTCCGATGGGTGATTTAAAGGTTTATTTACTGACCCAACAAAATACAGATCAGCAAACAAGCCTTGAGTCAACATCCTGGGTAACAGTGACCGACTGACATTTCAATACAACACATTATAAAGGTTTTGGATTCTCCTTCCTATTGGGCGATCGACTCCTCTCCTGGGGTCTGGTTCATCCCTCGTTCTTTTTTCCCTTCTGGCTTCAGCTGGATTATAATGGTGTCAGAACTTTGGTTCGCTGGAAGATCTCCTTGCCTTCTCACAACACCATTAATTCCTCTTATTTTTCTTCTTGTCACTCACTCATGACATCATTGTTTCCACACCTTCCCCCCTCTGTGACACCCATTAAAATACAATCGCTTTGTTTTTTTAATACTACAATATCAGATCATTCGATTACATAAAATCAATGCTTTTTGTGGCTCATAAACTTATTGTGGATGCATCAGATGAATGAATACATAACCCGTCTTAACATGTTTTTAGACTGAGGATAACATATCAGTGCTCCTACAATAGCTTTCATTGAAATCTTGTCATATTTTAATGGAGCTTTCTTTCGGTCATTACAGATTTGTCCCAGACCTGGAGGATATAGTCAACTTTGAGGAGTTGGTGAAGGAGGAAGGACTGTCAGAGGAGACCCAGAGGGCTGCTAGGTACAAAAAAACTCTTATGAATGTGCATGAATGTCTTCAGACCATTATTTCTGTGTTTCTCACGGACTTGCCTTATCTTTTGATTCATTAAGATAATTTAAAATCAAACATGAACTCAAAAGTTTATTTTAAGGTTATTTCTCATGTTTGTCTGCAGAGGGCACCAAAGCGTAATAAGTAGAAAGCGTTGCCTCATTTACACAGTCCTTTCTTTACTGTTGTGTTTTACTCAGTGTTCTAGATTCAGTGTTGAGCGATCTGACCAGCAACTCTGCAGAGGGGACGGAGTACTTCAACATGCTGGTGGCTGTGTTTGCACCGGAGTTTCGCAGCGCCAAGAATATGCACCTGAGGAACTTCTACATGATCGTACCCCCTCTGGTCAGTGGTGTATGACGGTCTGTTTCGCGTTTTCGTTGTTGTTTCGTCTTAAATTTATATTAATCTCCTCGCAACTGATCTCACTCACAGACTGTGAATTTTGTGGAGCACTCCATCAGCTGCAAAGAGAAACTAAACAAGAAGAACAAAACCGGAGCTGCTTTTACAGACGATGGCTTTGCAATGGGTGAACACACACACATGCACGCACGTGAACACACACAACCAAAGACTCATTCTGAACTCTTTATTTCTTGATCAACTTTTGATGTAGCATGTGCGTTTGTTGTTTTTAGGCGTGGCGTACATTCTGAAGCTGCTGGACCAGTACCTGGAGTTTGACTCTCTGCACTGGTTCCAGGCGGTCCGAGATAAGTACAGGAAAGAGCTGAGTGCCGTGGCGAAGGAGCAGAACGTGCAGTCTGCCGGTCAAGATGAGAAGTTGCTTCAAACTATGAATCTCACCCAGAAGAGGCTGGATGTCTACCTGCAGGTACAGCAGTCTGTCAAAAAAAAAAAAAAAAACTGAGCAGACAAAGATTTCTGTTCTATCACATACGTGAAGGTGTAGAATAAAAACACCGCCAAGTGTTTCCTGTAAGTCTTTGCTGTCTGCTTCTCACGGCAGGAGTTTGAGCTGCTTTACTTCTCACTGAGCAGCGCACGGATCTTCTTCAGAGCCGACAAGACGGCGGCCGAGGAAACTCTGGAGAAGAAAGATAAAGGTCAGAGGATAACTTTGTCTTTAATTAAGAGTCTTAAAACTACTCTAACTGGGCTCCTACGCAGTCTGGAGTTCACTTTTAGTGTTTTCCAGGTCTTAAAAAAGGCACTGGAAACAAAAAGATGCGAAAAACATGTTTCCAGACTTTCTTTTCCCCCCTCCAACATAAAAATTATATATATATTTTTTAAGTAAATAGCTCAAACTGCAGAGTGCTTTCAAAGTTTAATAAATATAAAATTGATCTGTGTGCAAAAATTTAGAAATAGCTCTAATTTTGGTCCACATTGGTTCCATAATCTGGCTCTTTGGAGGGAAAGTTTAGAGAAATGAGGAATGACTCAAAAGTTTTGCACAGTACTAAAGTCATGGTTGCAAAATACCCCGTGAACCCCACAAAGCTTAAATATGCTAATCATGGTGCATACTCAGACTACAAGTTATTTTGTAGTAAATCTAAAGTCCAAGTTTAAATTTTGTGAGCATATGACTGCGTGTTTGTTTACTTACAACAGCTTGGGTGACTGAAGGTAGGTCTGGCTGACCCACACTCAGCCTGATGTAGCGCAGTCACGTGACTCCAGCTTCCACATGGTTTATGGCAGATTCAGCAGAGTGCTTTGTTTACACAGAGTGCGTACCCGCATTTCAGAATTGCAGTCAATGTATCCGGAAACTACTGGAGGAGCTTTTTAAACTGCGGTATTTGATATAATTTAGCGTAACCTTTTTATATTTGATTTCAAACTCTGCAAAGCGTACCTTTAAGATCATAAAGTCGTCAGAAATGGGCAATGTTATTTCTAATTGTCAAATATGGACCAAAATCAGTTCAAATAAAAACAACAAAAAAAGTCCTGTTCTGCATCTGTTTGATAAATGATTATTTAAAAACGTCTGATTAATGAATGAGTTAATCAAAAGTTAATGTGTTTTCCCCCAGAAGAAACTGGAAAAGCAGGAGGTTCGTGTGAAGGGTCCGCGGGTTCGGAACCATCTTCGAAGTGAGCTGCCCGGCGAGATCAGCAGGACCTCTTACTGGATCTGAACTCCTGCAGAGTGACGGCAGTCTGCATCTAAAGTGTGTGGTTACGGGATAAAAGACTGGAAAACTCAGATTTATTGATGGATGTTTTTGTACACAATCATTTTCACAGAATTCTGCGTGTTGTGTGTGCAGCCACAGGAAGTCTTGGTGTTTCCTTTGTGACATCCTGCAGCTGCCAGCATCCATGAACTGTCTGGGTTTGTTGCCTTTTGTAGAACAGATTAAATAATTTTAGTTTGCACTTGGGCTGATTGTCCTACAGCAGTAACTGATCATGTTTTGTTTGAAATCACCTCAGTAGATTGTCTGGTATAAGAAATGTCTTCTAAAAGCTCTGCTTTAAGGACCTCTGAATGTTCATTGTTTTTTCTGTAATTGTTTACAACGTATGAATGAATGTGCCTTACAAACATTTTTAATTTCATTTACAAACTGTCCTTCCAACTTTGAAAGAAGTAGTGCTAAAATTGTATTTTCTGCTGCATGGATGGAGGATTTACGTTTTCATTTGTCTGTGAACGTGCAGTGCATCTAAAGCAACATTCCATTAAATAACTTCACAGTTAAACGTTTAAGTTTTTTTTTAACAACTAGTAAAACTCGCGCTCTTAATAGTTGATGAGTAAAAGTTTTGTATAGAGTCTTTAATGTGTTCCTAAAGCGCTGAAAGCACAAAGTGTGCAAATGTTTAACATGCCTTTATGACGATTAAACCAGCTGTGAAAATGTATCCTTTGTGATGATTTAATATTACCTTTAAGTTTAAACACAACTTTCTGTGTAATGAACAGGACACAGCGGTTCAGGAAAGCCTTTTCTGATTTAATACAAAGAAAAAAGCTGTTGACATCAAAAGATACAAGATCAGTTTCAATTTTTTTAAACAAATGGATTCTTTAAAATTTCTATGAAATGTTTTTGTTCACTTCCGTTCAGTCTAAATTGAAATACATCCTTTTTTTTTTTTTTTTAAGCTTGTAATTCTAGTGATGATCTCCATTTTTTTTTTTTGTTGTTGTTGTTGAAGGGTGAGAATCAGGCCTTTCCTTTCATGGCATTTGTATTTTTCATGTAAATGCCCCCAAGTGTCAAACGACACCCAGCAGATCCAGAACATTTGTCACATTATGTTCACCTCATAAAAACCGAGGTTCAGGCAGGACAATGTCCCCACCAAAAAGATCTTATCTATCTATATCTATATATATATAGCAATAATATATACACAAGTATACATACATGTACTAATTTATGTGATGCAGAGAACAAAAAACGATGTTTCTTACAAAATTGTAACAAAGACTGGAAAGTTTTGTTTGCTCTTGAGCAAAGTTGGTAATTGTTCAGCCTCTGAGGATTTTAGCCACAAGTGTGGAAACCGAAGCAGCTCCCAGATTTTTGTCGATGTTTGGTCGGCTCGAAAGTCAGACAGAAAGTTTGAGATGGAAAGAGTTTTGGTAGTGCAAATACAGAAGTTGTGAAGGAAATGACCAATGGAAGAAGAAAATGAGTTAAAACTGATCTAAACAAAGATGAATTGAAGAGGAGGAGAAAATAAACACTATTGAGGAGTGTTCATATAAAAAAGCACAAACAAATTTTGTGTTATTTTATTACTAAATATAGTGCAACAATAAACATTGCATTTCTTTCACCCCTTCACTTGTGTCTGAAAATGCGAACTTTTCCAACTTTTTGTGTTCTGAACACTTGATGTAAGTCAGAGGTGGAACCTTTGTTCGGTCACAAGGTCCGTCCTCTGTAGGAGAAAGCAGGCTTCAATTCAGACGTAAACATAACACAGACCCTGCTCAAAACTAAACAAAAAAACAGGGTAGAATGTAAATTCAGAAAAGGCAGGACAGTTTAATGGTGACGACGACCTCTGCAGTCTTATCAGCCGAATCCTCGAGGAATAAAAACCAAGCTGTGCCCGTCCAGGACAGCAGTGCTGTGTGCAGGACCAGCTGTGGGCCTTTGGACTGGTCGGGCCTTAGAAGGCCTGCTGGGCTGGATTGTAGTTGAAGGTTGATGGCACGTGAGGCCGCTCTTCCAGCTTGTCGTACTCCAGATGAAATTCCTTGGAGATGGGGGCAGAATTTTAACATGATTTTCAAAATCCCCAACAAGAGTCAGTGAACGTAACGCAGAAGTCCTCCCTTAATTCGTACCTTGGCAACTTTTCTCCAGTTATGACAGTCAAAAAAGTAGTAGGTGCCCCTCTCGTAGGTGTTGGTCTTGAGTGTGGGCTCCATGCCAGGCGCTCGTGTTATCCAGACCCGCTCCTCTTTGTGGTACCTCCAGTCCCGAGTAAAGCTAGACGGTGAAAGAAAGAAAACAAATGGGTAAAGGGAAATTTAAAAAACGCCCTAGCCACCGATCGCCACAGTCACTTCTTTCAGTCTCTGGAGAAATGTCCCAGACTAGGATTTGGATCAGGTGCCTGATTCTAGACACGGATCTGGATCGAAAACACCATGCCCCCCCCCCCCCCCCACCCCCCCAATCTAGTTGAAACAGCTACGTCAGTGGGGTTTAATGCAATCACTAAATGTCTATCATTTTAGATGTACACGCCACACAGGTGATTCTCAAAATTGTTCAGCTAGAGAAATTGCATTTCCTGCAAAAATGCAGTGTGAAAGCTTATTGCAAAAGAACTTGCTGAAAAACAGCTGAAATTAGCTACATACTGAAATGAAAGAACAGGCCTAAATTAGCAGAATATAGCAGAAGGAACACATTTGCTGAATTAGGTTTAAATAATTAATTTAAATAATTCAGGTCTCTCTTGTAAATGAGTCCCTGAGGCTCAATGGGACTAACTTGTATAAAGGTTGAATAAGCAGCATAAAAATTAGGAATCAGCTAAAAAAAGCTAAAATTACCTAAAAATATCTAACAAAAAGCAGCCAAAAAGGCAAAAAGAAGCTTAACCTACAAGAAGGAAGTAGAAAGAGCTGAAATTAGCTAAAAACAACAACAAAAAAAAACAAGTGGAATTAGATGAAAAAGCTAAAATTTGCATAAAACAGCTAAAATGTAGCTGAAATAGCAGAAAAAGTTGAAACTAGCTGAAAGGAGCATAACAAGCTGAAATCATCATAAAGAGTTAATTAGGCAGAAAGTAGCAGGAATTACAAGAAAAAAATATGAATCTATCTGAAAACAGCTGAAATTACCAGTAGCTATTTTTTTTTTTTTTCTACAAAGGTAGTTGAAGAGGTAGAACAAGCTTAAATTAGCAGAAAAAGGCAAAAAGAATATGTTTGCCCAATTAGGCTGAAAGCAGAAATTATCACAAAAAGTAAAAATTATCTGGAAAAAAAAATTGAAATTAACAACAACCAAAAAAAAAAACCAGCTGAAAAGTAACTAAAAAAATATGAAATAAGCTTAAATTACCAGAAGGAAGTGCAGAAAGCACATTTTTGCTGAATTATGCTTCAAAAGTAGAAATGAGTGCAAAAAATGTGGAATTAGCCGAAAAAGCTTAAATTAGCTATATAGTAGCTGAACTAATAGAAAAAGCCAAACCTTGCAGAAATAAGCTGAAATGAGTATAAGCTGAAATTTGCAGAAATAGCTGAAAAAAGATTGTTTGCACACAGAAGCTGAAAGAAGCTGAAGCAGAACAAAATGTGAAAGGAGCAGTAAAAGGTTGTAAACACATCTAAAGATTTGAAGGACGTAAAATGAGCTCAATTAATTTCCTTTGAGGGAAAAAAATGGCAGAAAAGGCTAAATATTTCAAAACGTTAAAGTTGCACCAACACCAAAAGTCATCCCTCTTCTGAAAGAGCTCAACGTTTTGATATGATTTGTTGAAATAGCACAAAAATTGTGGAACGAGAAAGATGCTGAAAAACGTACGGAAGAAAAATGGATCTCAACAGCGTCATGAAGATTCAATAAACCAGTGGAAAACAAAGGAGACGGCAGCGTTTATCTGTGAAGGCGACACAGATGCTGTATTCAGTGTCGTTACGACACAAAACGATGTGTTTAAGGTCATTAAGGAGTAATTTGGAGTTTTGAGTTTTAGATGTTGCGCACGTGGTCTTAAAAAATGTTTTGTGCCGTTATAATTTTAACATTGCTCTAAATGAAAACAAAAGCTTATGTTGCACTTCAAGGAACATCTTAAAAATCTGTTTTTATCTGAAGAATAATATGTAAAAAAAAAAACTTTAGCATGAGCATGTCTTTTTTCCTGACTGCATGGCAGAGCTACTAAAAAGTTAAGCACGTTTAGAAAAGGTTTGTCTACCGTTCACTGTTTAACCCCTTTCAGGAACTTACAGCTCTACTGCAGCCAGGATCTGTAGTAGATCGCCACCGTTCATGTAGTACAAGTAGAACAACAGGTCTTCACCGTATCGACCTAACTTAATTGCTGCCAACTGGAAACAAGATGGTAGAAAAGAATATTAGTTTTATAGCTTATAATATGAAGCACTAACGATGAGGCTCATAAATACCTTGTCCCTTATGTGGATGTTGGTTAAATACTCCGATGGTACATGGAAGTCTGGAAATACGCAGATAAAAGTTATGAAGGTTACAATTCTTTCAAAAACCAACTTAAAACCGGATAACAAAACTGGTTTGGTTTTGTTAAACTCAATAGATAACATTAAAAATCTCTCACACCCTTTATCTTACCGATGTCTTGAGGCCGACAAGGTGCTGAGGCCCAAGGAGAGGCGAACTTGGGATACAAGTTTCTGTCAAAGAGGCAAAGAAGTGTTTACATCAACACAATGAAAAACTAAATAATTACACTTTAAATCAGTGTAACAATCTTGAAAATGCTGTGCACTTGATCGATGATTTATAAAACCCGAAGCACCGTGGCTGTGAGGAGCCTTCAAGTAAGAAGTTTGTCATTTGTCCACTGAACTGTGCACGGGACTAAACTATGATCTGAAAAGGCTTTGGAGAGATAATCAAGGTTGTGAACAAAATGTTTTTAATAATTTTCAAACTTTTTTTTTTTTTTTTTAGAATTTAGATAGCTTTGTTGAATGTAACCACGGTTTAGAATACCCAGCAGAAGCCATACAAATGTAAACTCTGGGATTGAGAGAAAGCAAACTGAGATTATGGAGAATTAAAGAATCAAAACAAGAAGAAAATTGTATCTTTATGCAAAGTGGCCGACAATAAAAGTGACACTATTATTGTTTTGGCATTTGTAGCAGCAAAACTAAAAAAAAAAAAAACAGTATTACAAATATCTACTCTTGTTTAGAACAATAAAAATACAGTTGTATAATTGACTAATGAAGCTTTTTAATGATTGAGATCTTTGGTTCTGGTTAATGTGATGCTGCAAGAATTATTTTATTTTATTTACGGTATATAAACTCGAAGTAACTTTATATATTTTTTCTTCTCGGGTTCTACCCCACTGACAGTTTCATACCCCGAACAACTAACTACTCTTCTTATAATCTGACCTTTATGTACTAAAACAAGAAAAAAGCCTTGAGGGTGAGTTTAGAGATTTGGATTCACAATATACCCAGACATGGATTCAAAATACTTCAGTTTTACAGCTACAAAAGTAATTTAATGTGTGAAGATGTTTGTTCTCAGGAAAGTACCACGATGTGAAGTATACTACATATACCAGGTATATTACTGTCTATGTGCAAAAACACAAATACGTCCCTGCCAACTGAGTGCTAATAAAACAACTTAACGGTATTTGTACTCGTAAAACACAATTAGCTAAATACAACTGTAACAACTGTGCATTCATTACATGCCAAATAACATTTTACCTCCAATGTAACATCTTTAATTCTGTCGAAGTTAGAGAACTGGCCTTACATCTAATGAGTAATCAACAGCTAATAGTGAGTTTAGAGTAAAATGTCTGTCTTACTCTGGTGAATTCAGGTTGAGTCCCAGTGTTGTAAGATCACTTCCTAGCGCCAGATGGACCATTCCCAAATCTGTTTCTGCAGCCCGGATAAACGTCAGCAGACCGATCATGCCAAACTGGTCTGTGACCATTCCAGAGGGGATGTTCGTCACCCGACCTGTGGCGGCAGAACGATCCAGATTCAACAAACCACAGATCTGCTGTGGGGCCGTGATCTACAGCAAATACTTACTGTGAAACCACATCCATATTTCTAGACTGTGATTTGTGCACACATCGGAGAGCAAACAAGCCAATCACATTTTCTTTAAAATGATCTTCACAGACCAAAAAAAAAAGTTTCACATTGAATATAAAAACTTTTGGTCTCCTCACAATAGCTTATCCAACATTTATCAAACTCTAAAAACAGGGTAGAGAGCCCAACTGCCTCACCCAAGTTGTGCGATTAAGAAGGGATGTCTCAGAGGAATCGGAGCGATACGATTGGCTGTGAAGTCTCACCATCTGGCAACACCTGGATCCCTTTCTTCTGGTTGTTGTTCTGTGCCGACGCCATCTTGTCTCCAGGGAACTTTGGCCCATCTGTGCTCGACGTACTCTTGCTTGTGGTGTTCAAGTTCTGAACAGGAAACAAAAAATAATTTTTAATCAGAAAAACGCATCTTCCAAATATTTAGATTTTTTTTTTTTTTTTAATGCCCCTGCATGACCCGTTGGGCCATCGGTGGTTCTTACAGTTTTACTGTCATCGTTGTTCAGCGTGGGGTCCTTATAGTTTGGCCCAGGCAGTGCAGGAAAGTCCTCATTATGGATGGAGAAATCTTGTGTCTGCTCAGTTGAAGGTTTTGTCACCATGCCAACTTAAGGATTTCCCAAAATAAGAAAGCAATAAAATCACAGATCTGCATTTAAACAAACCCTTTACAGTTGTATCTCACTGGGCTGCAACTTCTGGCAACTAGATGGAAAATAGCATTCATGAGGGAGTCTCCAGAATGTCTTTGCAACATTCTTGGGGTCCTTAGTTTTGAAACGCAGAGGCTAGAAGTTGTCACTTGAATTTTGAACATGTAAAACCATTTGTGAAACAAAACTTCTCTCAAAATAGCCCCAAAGTCTTTGCATGCATTTCACACCCACCTACATTTTGTCAAGGGTGTCTCAAACCCATCTCAAGAGTGAAAAGCCGCTTCGGCTCTCCTCTTATCTGCTCTTCAAAGGTGTACGTAAACAGCCACGGTGACTTGTTTCTCCGCTCTGTGGGTGGGATCATTGATGCAGTGGGCAGGCAGCATAAATGTAATCTGACTTAAATTACTTAGCTTATCCCAGCTTTGCTTAAAGATCCAAGTACATGCTATCATATCCCATATCTCGTGGAAAATTCACTTGTTTCTTGTAGCGCCGTCCAGCTCGCGTTGAATTCTCTGATCCGCCAGTAAAGATAGAAAGGTCTGGACCTCGTCATTGGTCCACGGCACTAATTTTGGAGCTACCATACTGAACAAGAAACTAGAAAACTAAAATACTAGAAAAAAACAACCTAACTAACCCACACTCTACAATAATCAGAGAGGAAGTGGAGGTTCAGATATAGTTTGCTGTGTTGCTGGGTGGGTCATCCAGTTATGTAGCTCCACTGGTCAATCAACAGCTGCTGTCTGCCTACATCAAAATCGTCACCTCGGAGCAATTCGCTTAGAACAAGATGGTCCCATAAACTCTGTGGGCAGACCCTTAACTAGTGCAGTGTGGTGCAGAACCGATGCGTGTAGAGAACGTGGCAAAGCGCCAATAGTATTTTGAAACCAGCACAGAAGATCTAACATGTTCAGCTCTAAACCCCACTTTCATGATGAATAATAACAACAGAACTGGTCCAAGTCTACCCATCTTCATTTCAAAATGTAAACCAGTAAATTAGTTGATAAATGTGGGGGAGGCTGCCAAGGCAAGTACAAAGAGGGCTGAGGAGGGCAACAGAATAATGTGCCAAGGCTAGAATACAGTTGTGCAATCTGTGAACACTAAAACAGGCCGTCATTTTCAAAAACTGGTTACGCAAAACGAGGCTGCACGGCTCACTGGTTACTTGGTCGCAAACTGTCACGATTCAGTGAGACTGCAACTGAAAATGTGCAATTTTTTTTCTTCTAATTTTGAGTCGCAACTTGTCTCCAACACTCGCAGCCCAGTGAGATACTACCTTTACAGATATTACATATCAGATACAGAGATAATAACCAAACAATAATGACCTACCATAAGGAGCCCGTCCAGCCAGCGGGTTGGGCAACGGCGTTGGATTTCCAGTTCCTTCTCTCCGATTCCTGTCCGCTAAAGCAGGGAAGTCTGACAGATCCAGTCCCATTACATTGTCACTCCCATCTGCATCAACAGGATAATACAGTATCCTTTACCTTCTATTTGTTTACCAATGTGACAAGGGTATGGTTGATATTACAGCATTATTACACAGAACGAGTGTGACCTGTAAGAAGAGACTTTTTTCATAAATTACAAACACACTTTGGGCAAATTTAAATGTTTCTCAGCTTAACAGAACAAAATAATTGCTCTTACAATTACCAAATTTAAATACATACTTTCAGTACCAGTTAAGATATTAAATAAAACATGTTATTTGTAAACTAGACACGTTGTGATCTTTTAACCCCGCCAACCTGTGCCGTTGAAGATGTTGCTTGATAACGAGTTGTTCATTCCAAATGCCTGATTACGGTTCATACCAAATCCCGACATGCTGCAGAAACAAAAACGTGGCAAAACAGAAAAGAAGAAATGTCACCTTTGTTTTAGGAAATGTAGTTTGCCAGCAGATCTTCACACAAACAAAGCACATGAATAAACCAGATGTATCTACCTGCTTATGGTGCATGGCTGACGTGCTGGTTGCTGTTTGGGCATACAGATGATGCTTGGTGAGCTGCGGTTGGGGCTTCCGAGCCCTGAGCTGCTCATACTATTGGTCCTGCTGCTTATCCCGAGGCCTTGACCAACCTGAGAGTGATTCAGTATGTTCCTCGAATTCATTGGTAACGTCCCTCTGTGAAACCATCATCACCTGGGCCTTAGTGGAGCTCTCGTTTTAACAAGACAAACTTCCAAAAACAGCAACAACAGACACACCTGCTTGGTGATGGAGGCGTATGGAGGGACATGGTGGGGACACCTGTTGTGGGGGTGATATGACTCGGTAGCTGCGTCCCTTGCGTTAAATTTCGGTTTAACTGAGGTGTACTGTTTCCCATGCTTCTAACGGGGAAACCGATTGCACCTGCAGGGAAAGAAAACAAAACACAAAGACAGAATAAAATCATAAAAATGTCAAAAAACAGACAGGACTCTTTGCAATTTATGTCCATTTAACTTCAACTCATTGCCACATTTAAAAGTTTTGGTGATAACTGACCCTTAAAAAACAAAGCATAATGTTTTCTACTAACTAAAGTACATTAAAAATTAACTAATCTGTTAAAAGAATGTAACAATAGCAAACACTCACTTTGTGGACCATACAAACTTGGACCAAGCTGCGACAGCTGACCAGACGACGACGGTGAAGGAGAGGAAAGTATCTGAAATGTAAGATTTAAAAACAAGGTTGGGTAAGTAACAAATAAAAAAAAAACTGACTAAAGTAGATGTAATGTTGAAACTTACATCTTTGTCCGATCGATGTGGGAACATCGACGGCTGGTTGTAATACATGTCGTCAGTGAAGTCATTATCGATTACCTCGACAAAGTCTGGAAATTTCTTTCTAGCACCAAACATGCCTTTTGTCACCTGAAGAGAGCGATAACTCTATTAAAATGAAAATCAGGAAAATTGAAAATTAACAAAAAAATATAAGCAATCACAAAATAAATGATGTTGCGCTGTGATAAACATTTTCCTAATTCTAATTAAACACAGACTTACTTTTACAGCCTCCTTACAAATGATTTAAACTCATTTTGTATAGATTCAGTTACAGAAATAGAAACAAATTGTGCTTTTGTGGCAAGCTGCTAGTGACGAAGTGACTAAAGATCAGGTTTGAAATTGGTTATTTGTTGTCTGTGATGTACAGACAAAACACTGGCTCATCCCTTGAGTTTAGAAGCCTTTTAATGACCAAACGATTCACAGATCACAAATAAGTAGCTCAACAACCAAGAAAACATTTTTTCTAAAAATGCCAAGTACTGGAGTGAAAACAACTAAACTAAAAGAAAGATATGTCCAAAGAAAGACTTTTAGAAAGCTTGGAGGAATACTACACAATAACACTTTTAAACAGCAGCACAAACATCTGGATTATTAGAGGACAAGCATAAAGACTCGCAGAGCACTTTGAATGGTGTTGATAAACTCTTAAAGCAGGCAAAATAAGGAAAACGACGTTGGACTTTCATAATATATTTGATCATATTATCTAAGCACCCAAATAATAAAGTACCTAACTGATCTATTATTTTCATTTTGAGTGTTAATGTGACTAATCTCTGAAACTGAAACCGACTGAGTAAAAACAGCAGCGATGCTAACAGGTTAGCAAACCCACTAACGTTAAGAGGCTAACGTTAGCATGCTAGGTGCTCTGAAACCCTTAATAATGCACCACCAAAAAAGAAAGGGGAATATAACAACCTGTCAGCTATAAATCCATACAACTTAGCGATTAAGCAGCAGTCGTTATCTGGCTGTCATAAACCCTCCTCCGTCCCCATATTTCCCCAGTCAGCTGTCCCGTTTTCTCGGCTAACTTTACGCTCCGTTTGCAAGCAGCTGCAGCGAAGCAGCAGCAACAAACCGCTAATGCTAAAGGCTAACGAGCTGCCGCGGATCAAAACTGAACAGAAACCCAACAAAAAGCTCCAGCCGAGAGGTGAAATTTCTGATAACCCCCTTTGACGAGAGTGTTTAATAAGCAAAATACCCTCACCGCATCAATTTCCCTTCGCTTCGTTAGATCCAAGATGGCTGTGTGTACTTCCAGTCGAAAGAAGTGTTAGCCTTTGCTCTCTGACCTTCAACCCGCAGACTACTTCCGTACACAAACCAGGAGCTGCCGCTCTTTGTGATGGATTTAACTGCTTCTTCTCTGAAGTGCCCCGAATAAAATATTAGGCTAAATTGTGTCTAAAATTAATACATAACAGTATTGTTGATCTTGTAGTGAGTGTAATTCAAGTTCAAGCTTCTTTATTTTCATTCACATCACATGTGGTACATGAGGTGGAACGAAATTGTGTAAAAGGTCCTAGTTACACCTAACAATAGCAAAAATAAAAAAGTATAACAAGAAATAGTATATAAGGATCTAAAATATACATTAAGATAGCTACAATAGCTATATAACAAAGATATATACATGTGCATTTACATATTTCTTAGTTATATGTGTATCTTAGTTATATAGATATTGTACATATCAATATAACTAATAAATATACATGTACATATGTATATATTTGTATATGTGTATGTATGCTTAGATGTGTATGTATGTATACATATACAGTATGGGTATATATACATATATATATATACAGATAAAGAAACAAACATTATCTTCCGGAGATCGGAACAGTATGT